GTCTAGATTGGCACGGACGCTTTTCTGCAAAAGCATTTTTTCTGAAAAAGCGTCCGTGGCCAATCTAGACGTGCTTTTCTGCAAAAAAGCCCCGATGGCCATTTTCGCGATCGGGGCTTTTTTGCGGAAAACAAATCTCAGCTGTCTACACTGGCCCTTTTGCGCAAAAGGGACTTTTGCCCGAACGGGAGCAGCATAGTATTTCCGCAAGAAGCACTGATTTAGGAAGTCAGTGCTGTTGTGGAAATTCAAGCGGCCAGTGTAGACAGCTGGCACGTTTTTCTGGAAAAGCGGCTGATTTTCTGGAAAAACTGGCCAGTCTAGACACAGCCCTGGTGTTTCTATGGAGAGGGTTCAGGAGTATGATTGCCGAGTCCCTGGTAGGGATGTGAAAGGTTAACCAGTAACTGGTGGGGCTGCAACAGCTCTCATCTGGAGTAGCTTCTGTCTGAGGGAAGCCTGGGCCTGCAGACAGGGGCTGCTTTGGTTCGGGACTGGAAGTAGGACTTAAAGTCCCTCCCCCCCATCCAGGACTATCCCCACCCCAAGCCTCCGTCCTTTAGGAAGGGTGGGGAAAGGGCTGGAACCCCTCCCCCCCCCATTCACTTGGGAGCATTGCTGGCTGATCCCCTTCATCAAGGAGTGAGGAGAAAGTGCACAGTTTGCTGCATTCCTTACTCTGGTTAGGGAGCAGGGTCGGCCCGAGCCCTTTCGGCGCCCCGGGCCCGATGCGTGGCGCTGCCCCTGGGCGCACGGTGCATGCACGGGCCAGCCATGGCTGCTGGTGGGCCCCGGGGTGCACGGCGCATGCGCTGCCCAGCCTGGCCCGTCCAGCGCTGCTGGCATGCGCGCCGGGCCATGCAGGGCCTCACGGCCATTGGAGGAAAGGGTGCTGCTGACCGGCGCCGCAGGGCCGGCACTGCGAGAGCTGGATGTGCGGTGCATGGTAGCAGCTATAAGGGACGCCGTGTGCCCCATACAGCTGCCATCAGGTGCCCCCCATCGGTTGGCGCCCCGGGCAGCTGCCCGGCTCGCCCATGCCTCAGTCTGGCCCTGCCGGAAGCCAGCCCCAGTGCAGGGCTCCAGGTGGGAGCCCTACGAGCTGGGGGCTGCTCCAGCTGGGCTGGAGCGGTCCCCAGTCCGGATCCTGCTTAGTGGGTTAACTGGTTCAACATTAGATCAGCTGATTAACCGAGATAATACATCCTGAGTCCCTAGCTTGTGCCTCTAATTCTTTGAATGGAGTAAAGTGGTGGCAAGTTGTTTCTGAGCTAATGGAAGAAGCCATGGGAAAGCCATGGAAGTAAAGGCAGGAAAACAGCGCATGTGGTTTGCCTTTTAAAGGAGTTGTGTTTACATTAGCAGTCAGGTGTTTGAAAATCAGGTCTTTACTATTTTAACAATCATAGTCTACAATAAATATGCAATCTTAATCAAAAAAAACAAAAAAAGGAGTTGCGGGAACTGGAGAAAGTTCTCCCCCCCTCCTCCAATGCGCACACATAATTTGCAACTTTCAACCATGATGGAGTTTGGAGGAGACACAGTCTGCTCCCCTGTTGGGGTGCCTGGGAAGCACCCCTGGGGATGGAAACACACGGGGTTGCTTAGCCAGCCTGCGTTTGTGCCTGCAAGGCGGCTCTAGGTAGCGCAATCCCTTTGCTCCAAAGTGGAAGGCTGCTGTCATTAAGCCGCGCACAGCCACACCTAAGCAATAATCCACTGTGTGTTTTCTCATCCACAGGGGATGAATTCCTGGTCCTGATGCTGTAGCTCTCAGAGGCCTGTGCTCTCAGTGTATGTGGCCCTGGGCTGTAATATAAGAAGCATTTACAGCTTTAAAGATCAGTTACATTAGGCTTTAGCCTGTCTCAGAGGTGCTGCCCGCCTGTGGCAGGGATCCTCGCAGAATCAGGAGTCTGAGTGGTTTCTTTATGTCACACTTCTGAGCTTTCTGAGCAACAAATGACCCCGGGTGATTTCCTCGTGGCCCTGAATGTAACCCACATGGAGTGATGCGCTGCACACTTACCCCAACCCAGTGCCGCAGGATGGTCGGGGAAGTGGTCTGGCCCCAGAGGGAGGGAAGTGAAACAGTCAGAAAATTAATCTTACCCAGCAGCAGCAAAGGCAGAGGCAGCAAAGGGAGGCTGTCATGAATATTAACTAGGAAGAAGGTTGGCGGGGTGTGTGTGTGTGTGTGTGTGTGTGTGTGTAGGTTTGCAGTGTAAGCGTTTAGACTTTACCCAGGAGTGGGGAACCTTTTTTGGATTGGGGGCTGCTGGCCCACCAAAAAATCAGTCAGGGGCAGCACACAAGTGAAAAGCAAAAAAAGCCCCTCCCATTCCCCTTGCACAGCAGAGCCTACGGGGGCCAGGCTAGTGAATTTTATGCTCCCCCCTGCACTCTGGGGTGAGGCCAAAATGAGGAGTTTGGTATATGGGAGGGAAACATTCCGTTCCATCCCAGGAAGCCGGCTTGGGGCGTGGGGTCTAGGTGGGAGGGAGGGTGCAGGAGAGGGTTGGGAGTTAGTGGGCCTGGGTGGGTGGTATGGTGTGAGAGTAAGCTTGGGGTGGAAGGCTGGACGGGACATAGGGTGCAGGAGCAGAGTGGGGGTGCAGGGTCTAGGCAGGAGGGGGCTGCAGGGCTGGAGGGCCAGCTCTCCGATTCTAGGGGGGAGCCCTGAGTCAAGCTGAGCCAGGTTCCCATCCCTGCTCTAGACCAAAACCAGGGCAACAGTTCAATTCTTCTTGCGCTGCTTTTTTTATTATTATTGGGGTGCATTGTGAGAGCAGGGGAAGGAGTCAGATTGCTGCTGGCACAGGTGAGCCCCACCCTGGCCCTGAGTCAGTTGGTGACTGAACGGGCAGGGGTAGGATGGGGACTGTGATGAAGCAATGGACTAGAACAGCCTCTGTGAAGAGTTCTCTGGCCCAGAGATTGACAGGAGAGATCTCATCTCCCTCAGCTCTCCTGCTGCCGGGGCTGCCTCCTCTTGTGCCTAGACAGACTCAGCTCTGTACGCGTTGGTCCCATTTGGGTCTGGACTTGAGGGTGCCGGCCCATCTGCATCTACTGGGCTTTGCTCTGGTGCCTTCCTCCTGGATGGCAAAGCACTTTCATAACCCACATGACTAACCCCTCCAAAGACGAAGGTGAGGTCGTATCCCCCTTTTACTCGGGGTGTGGAGCACTGAGGCATAGCACCAAATGAACTGGTTCCCCCCACAGCGTGTTTGTGGCAGAGCTGGGAAAAGAGCTAACTCCACCATGTCTGTTCTCAGTGGGAGGCTGTGCTCCCTCTGGGGAGCAAGCTACTTCTTTTCCTGGACCAAAGCACTTTGTGCGAGTTAACACATTGAATCCGGGAGCAGGGGCTGTGAATTCAAGCCCTTCCCGGAGGTGGGTTTAGCCCAAGGCCTTCAGTAAGGCCAAGGTAGTAATTGACCTGAGTCTCTTCCCCCAGTGCCTCATGGGAGCTGTTCAGAAGAAACCTGCTTCTGTTCCTTCAGGATGTCTTAGCTCCATTCTGCACCCATCTGCTCGGGCAGGCTGGGGGGAGCAGAGAGCTCTATTGTGCAAACAGTCTTTCCTCTGCCTGCTACTGCGGGTGAGGGCCATACCGCTAGGCCGGTTGTCATGGCGATGCATGGACCGTGTCTGCAGCCAGGGACGGGATGGCCTAGATGCACCCCCCCCCCGGTCCCATCTTCTCTAGGAGATGCCCAAATCTCTGCTTTCCCCACTCTGCTCGCCGGGGCTGCCAATGGTTTTTGGCCTCTTCCCAGACTGCCAGATGGCAGGAGAAGGTGCACCCTGTCATCTCAACCCCTCCTGTGCCACCCAGTCCCACACTGCACAGAGGGGAACCTGCTCTTGCTTAGCGGGTCACTGTGCCCACGGCAGGAGAGTAATGATGGGAAGGGTTCCAAGCTTGGGGAGGGAGGAGGAAGCAGGAGAAAGGAAGCAGGAAGGAGAGGGGCAGATCTTGTCCCTGCTTTCTCTGGTGTCTTGTAAGTTCCTGCAGGTAAGGGACACATGCCACTTCATACTGTATCCGCAGCCCTGGGCAGGCCGTCACTCCCTCGTGGTGCCAGGCTCTGTTGCGGTCTCCACAGCAGTACGAGAGGGCGATGCTGTGCCAAGTACCAGCATGCCCCGCTGCGAGAAATCCCCAGGGGCTAGGGAGAGGGAGGGATCGTTGGGGAAGGCGTTGGCCTCTCCATGAGCCGATCCATCTGTGGAGCAGACAGTGCTGGGGCGGGGTGTATGCTTTTTTGGGCCCGTGGCTTCCATTGCTGCGGTTCATCCTGTTCTCTGCCAGGATGGGGCTCATGGGTTGAGTGCCCCATAAAGCCTGAGGGAGTGATTCTCCCCTGCCCTGTTCCTTCAGGAGCAATCCCCAGCAACTGCCCCGCAGTTTGCTCCCCATGTCCCTCTAACCGGGCTTGTGACGGACAAATGCCTGGCCCGGCCCAGCAGACAGGCCAGTACCGCAGAGAAAGGCTGCTCCTGACTCCAACTCTTAGAGCACTGCATAGGGCAGGGGTTTGGCAAATACTGGCCCATAGGCTGGCCCCTGCCAAGCCCCCACGCTGCTGCATTTTCCTGCGCCTCCGCAAGTAGGGGGACCACAGCTCCCATTGGCCGCAGCTCCTGTTCCTGGCCAATGGGAGCTGCGATCGCCCATACCTGCAGAGGTGCAGGTAAATATCGTGGCTCCCCCTGATGAACCACTGCTGTTTTATTGCCCATCCCTGGCATAGGGCTAGATTTGTAGGGCACATCTGTGTGGGATGGGTGAGCGCTCGCTGTCTGGTCCTTCATCTGAAGCAAGGCTCCCAGCAACCTAGGCAAAGGGGTATTAACATGTTCCTTCCCCCCGTGGGCTGGTGGGGCTTAGTGCAGGACAGTTCCTAAGGTGCTTTGAGATTTGGGGGCGGGAAGTGGGAATGGGGCTCACTGTCCTATCTGCTCAAGCTTTGCCCTTTGCATTCCAGGTCTAGGGTTTCGGTGGAGCTGGCCATGATGTTCCGGGTCCTGGTGGCTGCCCTCTTCCCAGCTGTGATCCTGGCCGCGCCGCCTCCCATTAACAAACTGGCCCTTTTCCCAGACAAGAGCGCTTGGTGCGAGGCGAAGAACATCACCCAGATTGTGGGGCACAGCGGCTGCGAGTCCAAGTCCATCCAGAACAGGTACGGGGAGATCAGGGTGAAATTCAGCCCAGGGCTTCTCTACATACGACTTGTTTCCTTTCCTAGTAAAGGAATCCACTGCCCTCTACTGGGTGGATTTGGATCAGTGTCATAGGTCCTACCTTGGTTTTACTCACTTGGGCTACATCTAGACTGGCATGATTTTCCGGAAATGCTTTTAACGGAAAAGTTTCCCGTTAAAAGCATTTTCGGAAAAGAGCGTCTAGATTGGCACAGACGCTTTTCCGCAAAAGCACTTTTTGCAGAAAATGTCCGTGGCCAATCTAGACGCACTTTTGCGCAAAAAAGCCCCGATCGCCATTTTTGCGATCTCAGCTGTCTACACTGGCCCTTTTGCGCAAAAGGGACTTTTGCCCGAACGGGAGCAGCGTAGTATTTCCGCAAAAAGCCCTGATTTCTTACAGTAGGAAGTCAGTGCTTTTGCGGAAATTCAAGTGGCCAGTGTAGACAGCTGGCAAGTTTTTCCGGAAAAGCAGCTGATTTTCCGGAAAAACTGGCCAGTCTAGACACAGCCATGGTAAGCTGGGCTCTTGGTGCATGAGAATCGGATTTCTCCCTCATGCCATCCCAAGCGGCTGTGGTGTGCACACACTGTTTACTGCCATGCGGCTTTGGCTTGGTAACCTGGGTCACTCTTACCCACCTTTGAGTCCAGGCCTCCATGGAGGCAGATGCATCCCAGTATATAGAAGCCAAGGCAAGGACTCCTCCTTCCTCTCCTCACCACTTCCATCCAAGTCCTTCAGTCCCTCCTGGGCTTCTCTGCCCCTTGGGTGCTGGGTCACAGCAGGGAGCGTGAGGAACTTCTCATGGGGAGGAGAAGGCTGCTGCTGGAGCAGCTCTGCCTGTTGGGCTGTGCTACGGCAGACAGAAGCCCTGCCTCTTCCCCCATTCCAGCCACCGTCTCCAGCCTGCCCTGGTAGAAGTCCCTACTGCTGGTGCCTCCCTCACCTCTTGCAAGCACAGAAGCCCAGGCAGGGAACGTCTTGTGCACGGTTTGCACCAAGCTTCCAGTCCCATCTAATGCCCTGATCCCTGGGCTTTCCTCCTGCCTTTCCTCCACAGGGCCTGCTTGGGACAGTGCTTCAGCTACAGCGTTCCCAACACCTTCCCTCAGTCGACGGAGTCCCTGGTGCACTGTGACTCCTGCATGCCCGCACAGTCCATGTGGGAAATCGTGAGTAACCCTCCCTGTTCTGAGGTGCTCTTAGCAGCTGGGGATGGCTGATTTTGCAGCTCAGGAGCAGGCTTAAGAATTGCGAGACCAGGGTTCTATTTCTACCTCTGCTGCTTGCATAAGGAAAGTCATGGGCCTATCCTGTGCCTCAGTTTCTCTCCTTGTGTCATGGTCACTGAAGTGCCCTGTGATCCTTCATGGAGAGTGCTCTGGGCCTCAGTTTCCCCCCTTGTGTCATAGGCATGTGATCACTGAAGTGCCCTGTGACCTTTCATGGAAAGTGCTAGTCAAGGCAAGTCTATTGCTATGAATAATAAATACAGAAATGTTTGCTCAGCCCCTCCCTCTCATGACTCCATGCATTATTCATTTCTGCTCTCCCACCCACGGGCCCTCTCCTCGGATTGCTCCCTTTGTCTCTGTCTCCCACTCGTGGCTTTGTGCCTTCTTCCGTGCCTCAAATGGCCTCCCACATGCCATCTGCCAGTCGCCTACCAAGCTCCTCACATCTCTGCACCCTCTCACGCCCCAAGCGTTGCCCCATTTATCCAAGTGAGCCTGGGAATAACGCGGAGCTGAGACCCTGCTTTCTGGGCTGGTTCAGTGACGCCCCGAGTGCCAGGCCGATGACAAAGCCGGTATTCGTGGGCAATAAAGCCAGCCGGGGCTGGGAGTCAGGAGGTCCTGAACTCTGCTATTGACTCACTGCGTGGCTTTGGGGCAGGGGTCTTAGAGCCTTTGATTCTGGAGGCCCCAGCTATAAATACCCCATGATTGGCATTGGCAAGGGCCTGCCAAGATGCTTATTGTTTGATAGTCTCTTGCACCAGTGCCTGGTTGGGGACGCTCTGTGCTAGGCGCTGTACAAATGCAACCCCTCCCCCCCACCACTTGACTCACATTGGAGCTTGAGAGTGTCTTCAGCTTGAGGTTTGCTGCGCTGTTCCAGGCGAGCATCCTCTGAGCATGGGATGCTGACCAGTGGGTGGTACAAACTCACAGGAGAGGACAGTCTCTGCCCGTAAGAGCGCCCAGAGTGGGTGCTGAGTGATGTGCCACCCCCTGTCCTGCAGCAGGCGGGGGGTGGGGAGGGTAAGGGAAGGAAACTGTCTCCCACTCACTCCCCTCCTCTTCTGAGCCAGGTAACGCTGGATTGCCCGGGCAATGCCGAGATCCCCCGAGTCGACAAGCTGGTGGAGAAGATCCTCCGCTGCAGCTGCCAGGCCTGCGGGAAGGAGCCGAGCCACGAGGGGGCGCTCTTCAACGTCTACCTGAACGCGGCGG